CCAAATACAGACACAGTTTCCATGCTATGCCAAATGCAGTATTACAATGTTTAATTACATTTAAATGTCATTTTCACAATTATTTATTGCGATAAATCAGATGGTTTTACCGTAATATTAATGCATCGATATAATGCCCCAGTCAGAATGTATAGTTGACTCGACTCGAATCAACGTTGAAATCTGATGTCGAAGTATAGTCGAAATTTTGATCGATTCGACGTCGATCTCGTACCAAATATCAACCAATTTTCAATTATTATTTCAACGTCGTTTCAACGTCGAAATTTGATGGTATATATATATATATAATATATATATAAAAATATATACTTTATTATTTATTATTTTTAGGTAAAAATACTAAAAAACAAAAAGTGCAAATCTTATTTTTCTTTTATTTATTATTATACAAAGTTGAATATAATTAACTACATTGCATTAAAAATATATATTTATTAACAATGCGTTATCTCTGTAAACTATTTCAATTTTACATATATAAGAATAAAGCGTTTAGTATACCGTTTAACAAAAAATCACAAATAATTGCAGACAGCTACGTGTTTTACTAACTTTTACACATATAATAAGTACTGAAAACTTATAAATTTGATAACGAAAAGTAATATTGCACACACAAGTCCTGATGCTTGTAAACAAAAAAAAGAAAAAAGTCTCTTATACTATTTAATATAGCGACAAAATAAAATTCCATTTTTTTTTTAAAACAATCGAAGTATAAATCATTTTTCGCAATCGCATAAAATTAGAAAAAAATAAAACTGAAATTGATTTCACGTTACGCATAAAAAATAGATATTTTGTCGCAGACATTTTGTTGTTTTAAATATAGAGCAGAGCATAGTTCAGCCATAAATATGCTATAAAAATCGTCAAATTTTAAAACAAAAGAAACACAAAAATAATCTATTTTTTTTTATTCTTTTCCCCATACTGCCGTCATCTTGGCGACGCCAAGGTGCTTGCTTTAGCCACAGTGAAGTAGCTGCATCAATCTCTGGGATTTCTGTTTCTGGCCTTTTGTCTAAAATGGCACCTAAAAATGCAATAATTTTTATATTTTATTAAATTTTATTAATTTTTAATTATTTTTATTATATTAAATTTTTTATTTTATTTTTATTGATTAATTTATATTTATATTATTCTCTTATTTGAAACGATTCTTAGTTGGAAATAAATATAAGTTTACTTACCTTGAACAACTTCATACAGCATCAGCTTTTCGAAACATTTTTTGGATAAATGTTTACCACTTTTTTAAGTAAAGTCTGCTGCCAATGTGTTTGAAATAAGTTTCCTTAGTACTTTATATGTAGCTTCCTTAATATTGTCTTTAGGACCAATAATTGACTCATGTAACAAATCTGGAAAAAATCAAATTTAAGCAAAGAAAATTAATATTAATAAATATTAAAACAAATATACATATATATATAATAAAAGCGATAAATATTTATTTACAGTTGCACCAGCATTATCATCTTTCGTTAAATATTTTCAAATTTTTCTAATTCTTCCTCTGTTGTCAATGAAGTGCTGGAAGATCTGCTGGTCTTATTATTCTTTTCTCATGTGGTAGAAGAAAGCGATTTAATCTGCATAAATTCATAGTAATCATATCTAATTTGCTACTAATTTCTTGATTTAACGAATACATCTTTTTTTCAAAAGCTTTCATATCAAAGGTCGCTTTAGACACATCTAATACACTACCTGTAAGAAATCAAACGTAATATATTTGATGCTTTAGAAAAAATTAAAAGGTACAAAGTCATATATGTTACTTGATCTACAAGATGAACTCGGTGTAGTTACAGCTGTCACATGTGAAGTAACTGGACTCTTTTGACGTAATTCTGATGGAGAAGTGCATATTAAGATGATTTTTTCATCAGATTATTTGCTTCATAAATACAGTAATCTTTGATGTACCTGGTGTCTCTATATTTATCGATCTTGCACTTGTACTTGGAGATACATCTTTATTGATGACATATCCTGAACTTTCATTGAAAAATCGTCCTCTCGTGGAATATTAGGATCAATATTTTCTTCTGTAGCATTATCAGAATCCATCTTTACACATGAAAACATTTCAAGACTTTATTTATACCAATAAAATTATGACTTACATCACATTGCATGTGCGACGTATAGAAATACTTAATTATCTTCTATTAAACATTTCTGTTTTTCTCTTGCAATCTCTATGATTTTTGTTTTGTTATCCGTAACTGAAGTTACCTTCCTTGCTTGACATATTTTTGTAAGTAAGAGATCCTTTTTAGATTTATGATTTTTAGAAAATGTCAACATTGCGTCATTTTTTTTTCTAATTGTTTATTAATTTCTGTAATTTTCATTTTTATTTTTTGCGTATCTGTGATAATATTGTTTTCATATTGTTTTACTTTTACTATTTTCTGAAAAAACAAGATAAGTGGCGGAAAGGAGCATGTTTAAATTTATATTTTTTATAGCACTATCATCTCTATGAAAATCTGGCGATCATCAGAAGTTGATATATTTTTAAATTTCTTCTTTTTTGTCACTTCTTTCGAGAGAGATTCATCACATGAAACTGCCGCTTAATTTTTTTACGTTTACAACCAAATTCACACTCTGTTTCATAATTAGACGACATAATAAATCCATTTCGTGCATTTCGTGCAGCCAAAATGTATCTAGGAAATACAATTAAAAAGACAATTAATTTTTATAAGCAAAAATATGCAATAAGAAACAACATACCAAATATTTTAAAACAGTAACATTATATATCGGCCATGATGAAGTGCATCTATTTCTTTTTTAATTGCAGTACTCTGCTCAGATTTAGGAGGCCAAGAAATTTTTGCATTTGTTTTTCATCTAATTGTTTTAGCCATTTAATAAGACAACTTCAAATAAAGAATCGTCTTCCTTTGCAATCAATCTTCATTATAAATTTCAAAACGACAAACTGAAAAAATAATGATTTTGATATGTAATGACTTAAAATTTTTCTAACAATAAATACATAAAAGATTAACTTTAATACACTTACAATTAGATACACAATAAGACGACATAATATATCAAAATTCTATTTGTAAAGGACATAGTATGAAGTAAATATCAAACAATCGTCTTTTATAGGAATTCAACATTTGGCAATAATATTATTTATAGAAAATACCAATCTTTTTTCACTTAAATAGATACTTTGACAATGCCAAGTTCAGAAAATGCAAAGGATATGTATAAAAATCTGTAATATTTTTAAAAATATGAACAAAAATTATATTATCCTGATTGCGAATGACATTTCTCGGACTATTTTACTTCATTGTTTTGAAGCATGAATCTCTATTATTTACTTCAAAATAACTCATTTAGAAATTTTTTTAATACTGTTCACCATAAATATTTTCATTGATAATCTATGTTTTTTTGAAAAAATAATGTTATTTATATCAGAATCTAAAAGTAAAACGTTTTTTCTTACTTTGTTCTAGCTCATATTTGCTTTTTTGAATGGGTTTAAAACCTATTTGAGGTACTTTTAATATTTAATTTAATTTTCAAAGAAAGGCACTAAATATATCTAATCAAATATCAATAATTCTTGTTAAGGAAGAGATGAAATTATATACAACAAATAATTAAATAAGTATGAATATTGGAAAAAGTTTATAATATTTATACTTTAAAACTTTTATAAAAATGGACAAGAATATAAATTACAATTAATAATAAAAGTCTTTAAATATTTATATCAAAAATAAATATGAGTAGTATAATGGCAGGTATGGCCCGTCAAAACAAACCCCCACCACCGACCCGTCTGGCGCCGGGTCTTATCTTATCTTTCCCCCACCACCGGCGTCTGGCTTTTCCGAGTGTGGGTGTTAGGGGGAAAGGGTGTTGGGGGAAAAAAAAATGGCGACTGGCCCCGAAAGGTGGGGATGAGAATTTTTATTTTTTATTTTTTCTGATTTTCTCTGGATTTGAACCCGGGACCTCCGTGTTTCCGAGCAGGGTCCTAGTATGTTGAGCTAAACGAGATCTTACTAGTCTAAGGATTAGATGTGGTATTTAAGCTAAAGTTGCGTAGAGTACGGCATGGGGGTTCGGGTATACGTATGGCAAGGATAGCTCGTCGAATCAAATGGTCGATATTGGACGGGGGTGGGGTAAAAACAGTTCGGGTATACGTATGGCAAGGATAGCTCGTCGAATCAAATGGTCGATATTAGACGGGGTGGGGTAAAAACATTTTGGCCAAGAAAAGCGTCGTGCGGTCGACCGGTGGCAGGTAGTAGCTGACAATGGCGTAGGGTAATAAAAAAGAACACGCAAATATTTGTACAGGCGAGCATTCCGACTCGCGTCACGATAAAAAATAATAATACATCGTCGTAGATTAGAAAGATGTCAGATAAAATTTTATTTTAAAATAACTCGCTGCTTAATGAAGGTAAACAGGAACATGCATGTTGAGGAAATTTCTGGAAAGAGTAAGTGAAAGAAAATTGAACAATGGTTTTAAAAGTACAAATATGATTTATATTTAAAATATTTTACAGAACAAAATTATTCACAATCATTTCAAAAAAATATTCGTCGAATAATTATTAAAATTTACGTTTTGATATAATTGCATATACAATTTGTTCGAAATAAAGTGAAATTATTTCTAAAAATGTTATCTCGAAGTATACATCGAGAAATGTTAAATCTTTCAGTTGGGTGCGTACATTACGTTCTATTTCCTTACTGTTACCTCTGATCGTGAGTTTCACGATACTGCTATTAATGCTACCGTTGACAGGAAGATTTAACTGTATTTTGTTAATTAAATATCGAGCACATTTGTTGACATTAATTAAAATAAAATTTAGGCGATTTAAATTAGCGTTCACACAATCAACTATATTTTCTACACCTTGAAAAATCGTTCTCTGCATGACTATCGCAATGTTGTAAGTTTTACGTCTTTTCGCCTTCGGTCCGTTTGCGTTCGCATCCTCCGCAGTTTCGGAAGAAAGATCTTCTTGCTCGTTTTCACGATATGTTATTAGTATGGCTCTAGCACCATATGCGGTAGTGAAATTTATAATTATCTTGTTAAAGATGATCGAGCTCAAATTAATTTTATCACCGTTTAAGTAGTTCGACATTGTTTCCATCTTATTTTAATATACAGAAACGTTCAAATAGACGACTAAGAAAAATCAAATTTGCGGTTGGAATGATTGTAAAACATAAACATAAAAAAAAAATGAAAGTCAGGAATCTGCAAACAGGATTTCCGGTGTAATAATAGGTTGGCACAAAAATAAATATAGCCATGAAAAAATGTTCGCCAGCAACGAGCAGCGCAAAGTATACTATCCCTGCTCTATGACTTTCAATACTTCTTGTAATTATGAGAATGCAAAGAAATAACCACATTACATAATACTTACTCAAAAGAACACAATTTGTTACATAAATGAAAATCATTGATACTCATCTTGTTTTTGAAATACTAGACAACACAAGCGCACGCTACGCGTGCGATTATCTGATTTCGTTTCATGCTTTTATTTAATTTTATTTAATTTTATTTTGAGCTTTACTGTCAAACTATTAATAATCGTCATGATGACAACTGCTCAATGCTACGAATATAATGCGAATCGAGACAACCAATTAGCATCGCGAAAAAACGATAACAATAAACTTTGAGAAATGCGATCATCGACTTTATACATGCCTTTTTTAGAAAAAGATATTTATTAATTTACAGCCTCGTCTCTTTTTCAAACTCAATTTATAAAAATATTTTATCATTTCTTCTAGTTTATTCTAATCCCTTTATTAATTTAGTTATTCTGTTTATTTTATTTATCACATGTATTTATTATATATGTGTTACAATATATTTAATAAATTTTATTATTTCTCGTTTCACTTTATTACTTAATCGTAGTTATCATTGATTTATTCTTTATTTACATTTTTTATTTTTAATTTAGACGCTCTGACTTCAACAACTGGATGGGTCGAAAATAGCGAAATAGGTCATTATTTTTGTACATTCGAAGGCACGCATTACGTACCAAATAAAATGATGGCAAGACTTTTTCCACGCGATACCGCTATAATTGAAAAAAAAAAACAATATCAAATATGGTAAACAAGTGGCTATCTGAAAACGCAAACGCAGTAATTAAGAGATTAACAAGTATTTATTGTAAATTTAATGTACGCCCTTCTGTTTGATATATAATACTCATTATAAATGTATCATATCAAGAAGAAAGACGTACATTGAAATCTGTTTTTTGATCATCTTCAGCGCAATTAAATACTAAAACAAAATAATAACACATTTTACGTCATCTAAATATTGAAAGATTTTAAAATGCTAATTTCAAAGTATCAAACAATGTAATAAAATTTTTAAAAAATGTCAAATTTCTCAAAAATGTCAAGTACCCCGCCCCCTCTCCTTAATTTGATTGCACGGTTCAAAGAACATTAAAAATCTTTATAACTTTTATTTCAAACATTTTTTTATATCTTATACTGTTTCGACGGTATTAGCTCAGAAATAAAAAAATACAATTTTTTTCAAGAAGGTGTTTTACTCCTTAAATGTCGAGATACGCAGCTAAAAAAATACAGGTCTAATATTTTTTAATGCTCTAAAACATACTCCAAGTTCATTAAAATCGGTGAGGGCCACTTCCGACCGTTCCCTTGTAAGAGTTATCTAATATTATTAATTATTAGAATATCTTGTCAGAAACAAAATTTCAGCTGTAATAGATCATTGGAACGATACGAGATGAAGAGTGACAAGGGATACAAAAACGGACATTATTTCTGATTGTGAACAAGATGTAGCATATAAATCAATCAAACTATCTCAAGCACAATCTCAAAAATTCCCCCTGTCAGCCAACTTTCGGACCAATATTTTTCTCACCTATTTCTTTACAGGGGATGTTAAGAGAAGGAACAGGGGGAATTTTTGAGATCCCAACCATAGGATTCAAATTCCTTTCCAAAATGTTCTTTCCTTCATAATTGCCGCAATAACATCGCGTTTGACTCTATTGGTCGAGAGGAATCAAGTGGAGATTGTGGCTTTAAAAATTAAAAGAGCTGACTAAATAAGTATTCGCATTATTATTTTCAATGTTCTTAACAAACTCTATCGTTAAATTAGTTCTGTTGTCAAAAGGTAAACTAAAATTACTCCCCAACTGTAAAAAACATTGGATATTA